AGATGTGTATAAGAGACCATATAAAGGGTGATGACATATTTATTTATTATATGTGTAGCAGGAAGTTCTCCCGCTCGTATATAGTTATGTTACTATTAACAACAAATATTAACAAGCCATGATTGTTGTATCTCATTAAGCATAAAACATATCGAACGTTTTTCAATAGCGTATTTATTCAATCGAACGTATTTAAAGTATCGAACGTATCGATTATCGCAATTAACAACAAATATTAACAAGCCATGATTATATTATTGTATCTCCTTAAGCATAAAACGTATCGAACGTTATTAACAGCGTATTTATTGAATCGAACGTATTTAATGTATCGAACGTATCGATTATCGCAATTCATTATTTGGAAACGATAGCATATCACTCTAGCTTGAGTTCAATCGAGAGTTCGGTTATGACACGAGTCACTCTCTCAGCCAATGCTCTTCATCAGGCTATGCATGGAGGTTAATGAGGTCACTGATGGTATTTCTTGCACTCACCTAAGCACGTATGCTATAGCGTCGATTTTTCATCCAACATTTCTTCATCCACTCAACCACACTCGTGATGTTATGATGAGTTATTTAAGCAATGGTTTTAACCAATTAATATTCATTTATACGAATAATCGTTTTACGACGTTTCATAAATAGCATGGTCAATTTTACATTGATCACAAATTGCCATAGTTTGACTATTTAAGTAATACAACATTTATTTTATGCTCTATATGTTGTAATTTTTGAACAACGTGAATTTGTCACGATGATAATTCATCACAATAACAGTCTTACTGACATCTCATTTTCTGCATGCGTAATTGCGTGAAGTAGTCAAGCTATTATTTTATACATCTTGTTATATTCTAAAAGAATTAACATTATACTCTTACATCATGAAACATCGTTCCACTTTGTTACATTCAATACATTGATTGAATACGTGTAATCTTTAGTAACGTATTAGTAGCCTTGAACGTGGTAACCTCGTTATTAGGGTTTAAAGACTTTATTGCACAGTTTACTCTCTGCAAGAAAAATAATCATTCAATCAATAGTCACACATTAATATTTGTATCAATGGAATTCTTATTTAAGTAATAATTCTATCACATTAAATACAGTAACGATAAAAAAAACGATAAATGATAAAAGTTGTGCGTCATGATCGACTCGATCTGCGGTCACTGAGTCTCTCTCAGGCCCTCTGCTATAGTGCAGTATCGTAGCATGCTTACGCACAAGGCTTTCGCCTTTGATCTCTATGTGTACGTTTCACGCACAAGCGTCTTACGTTCACGCACGTCGTTGCTTAAAGTACCATTAGTACAGCAACAGCATTTGGAGTTTGCTTTGCTCGTTATGTTACCGTTATTCGCGTGGAATTTATTCACGTATGTGATCTTTCACGAGTTAATACTGAATTAGATGAAGTTAAACATAAAGAAAACAGCGTTTGGATGATTTCGTATATACGAAAATCCACATTCGCTTTTAACTTATCAACATTTGAACAGAGTAAATGAACATTTTCAACGTTCATTAAAGCTTCAGTGATTAGTAATGACTAGCTTAAGTAAATGAACCATAGTTCTGCTGCTAACTTCCTTTTAAGTTGCATATACTTAAGGCGATTACGTCATACGATTCAGGGACTTACCTAGACGTTAATAATAAAATCAGCCCGTTGATTCCAAAGTTTTTTTAGCCATGCTAACCTCAAAATAAACATCATAGTTTGTCTCTTAGAATTTTCACAACATCAACATCAAAAATTGTTCACAATAAGCTAGATAAATTGGTATACACGTACATCACGTTATTACCCTACCAGTCAATAAAATTAATTGACTTCTAGCATTATATTAGATTAAGATTAGATTAGATTAAATTAGATTAAGAGATTATATATAAACCCAGAATGGATTTCAACATTATTTTAGGTTACAGGATTATTTATAATCTCTTGTGAGTACGGTACAGCTAATTATTCATTAGAATTAACGACGTCACTACCGTATTACTATCAGAATTAGTCAATTCTTTAATTAAGGCTGTAACAGCATGAAGTTCATTAGTGAGAATCGGCTTTATAGTTTGGAAGACTCGTCATGCTAAATTATTAATTTAACATCTGACTAACCTCACAGGATTTATTCATCCGACTTATATGTTACTATGAGTCAATGACGAATTGATAATTGATACGAGTCATTTTGCTTATTTAAGACTTTGTCTCTTCATCAGTAATGATTTAATTACCTATATCGGCTGGAAACATTTTTCTCGGCGAGCGGGAGCAGTGCTCACCGAGCCACTCACGGTGCTGCTCAATTCACTGCGGTGCAATTTCTCCCACCCTCTGACATAAGAAATTCATCACTTGATGCTTTATCGTTTGTACCACATGGCTGGTACCACAAAAACGCTGTTACGTGCTAGTAGTAAAAGCACCGTAAAACAAAAAACAGATTTAAGTCTATTGAACGACAATTTATCAGCAAAGTTTCGGTAAATGGCCATTTGTTGATTAAATATGAATGGTTGCTGACGTCCCGTGACTCACATAAGAAATTCATCACTTGATGCTTTATCGTTTGTACCACATGGCTGGTACCACAAAAACGCTGTTACGTGCTAGTAGTAAAAGCACCGTAAAACAAAAAACAGATTTAAGTCTATTGAACGACAATTTATCAGCAAAGTTTCGGTAAATGGCCATTTGTTGATTAAATATGCGGGAATGGTTGCTGACCTCCCATGACTCACAAAATATTGCGGATCATACATATTATATTCTGCGGATTAACAAACAATATTAATTAAATGTACTATGAATATATCAATTAGATTAGTACCCAACTCAAGTCCGGCGAATCTTGAGATGCCGCGACAGTTGATATCAGGGTGCGTACTGGTATTTAGAAAAAAATTCCATGACTTTTCCATGACTCTCCATAACCATCAATATAATTTTCCAAGACTCGATGCAGGTTCAGCATGACTGCATGAAAGACTAACCGTGCATATGCTATCATCTCCTACAGTTGATAAATAGCAAATGTGTAAATGTATAGAGCAGGCAGACACAGAGGAACAAAAATGACACATATCTGAAAATCGTGCCCACACTGGTATAAATATAGTCAGCTATTACTGGTATTAATTTGATAGTGTCAAATCACAACAAATATTGAGTATGCACACAAGATTGTACATGATAATGTCAATAAAGTTCAGAACAATCTTCAAAACCACTACTCTAACATTCAACTGGCAGCTATTTCATTAACTTTTTCTTTAATGTTCAGTTCAAGAGTGTCTAGCTCCTGTTGCTTTGCTTTCAAAGATCGCCTCATGGCGTTGAACTTTGCAATAATTTTCAAATTACCCTTTCTCTCCATTGCTTGCTCATGTGCCTGATGCCTACTCCGCATGCCTTTTCTTCTTCTTCAGTTCATCTAGCAGTCTAGCTTATCGAACAAAGCCTTCCTCTTTTAGGTTTTCTGGGCCTTCGCATTCTGCTCTGCTCTTTCTCTTCTGCCAAATAAGTACTGTAGGCTGTTTTAGCACTGCCAGCTGCAAGCAGCATCTTTTTGGAGATGGTCATCTCCAGGCCACCAACATGTGCAACATGATCAACCACAGCACGCAGGGCAACCACCGTTTGCTCTGTCATGTTGTGTGTCATGATTTCCTTGTTGAACGAAAACCCTCTTTCAACTGTGGCTTGGCCATGAGCATCTGCACTACATTCCAGAGCTTCCTGTAGGTGCTCTTTGACAGAATGGCATGCCAAAAAGTGTCAAATTGATGAGAAGTTGAAAATGCTTGAAACTGTGCATTCAGTTCACTGCAATGTTGTAATTCATCTCTAAAGCTGCACAGCTCATCGCACACCACCATCCACATCTGTGTTAGGGAATCTTTTGGCATCAACAAGCAAAGTGAGACAGATATTCAACTGTATCTTGTCAGCTTCCTTAGTCCTTGATGAAGAATTTTGGACCCAGCAATCTCAGGTTCCTACCAAAGCATACCTGATAGGGCTCTTGTACAGTAGCTTTTGGACTACAGCCTGCATGAAGTCCCGGGCTCGTGTCTCGAAAGAGGGAACTTGCATTGCACTTGCCTTCTTGTCTGCAAGCTGTTTTTTTTATTGTGGTCCTGGCCATGTAACTAACATCAACCTCATTGAAGGAAATCAAAATGCCTTTTTACCATGACTCTCCATGATCTGAAATGAAATCCCATGACTTTCCAGGCCTGGAAAATGAATAATCAAATTCAATGACTTTCCAGGTTTTCCATGGCCAGTACGCACCCTGTGATATTGTTGTTGCCATTTCTTCACGTTTCTACTTGCACAAAAGTGCAATGACCTAAATCACCACTGGTTGTGCCTTGAACTTCTTCACGGTCGGATATCACTATACGTTGATTGTTGCTCTTGCTGTTGATGCTGCTTTGCTTATTGATGTGATGGTCTTGCTTCTCTTCAATGTTGTTTGATGCCTCTATCAGGACTCTGGGATTAAGTCGTCCTTGATCTCTTGAAAAGTAAAATCAGGAAGTTGCCGCTGCTAATACTTCAGGTTGATACAATTTAATAGCAGCTATATTATAGCTGCTATATTAGCTGCTGATACAACTTATTAGCTGAACAAGTGATGCTCTAAGACAATGGCCTGGCGGTTGGCTTGATGAGCTTATAAGCGCGGAGACCCACAAATAGTGACATCACAGAAGGTGATGTAAGAGAGACTAATGACATGACGCTCTGACACATTCCCGCCATTTCCAGAACTGCAAGATTTTTGCCAGATGAATTACCTCCTACATAATTGTTAACAAAATTGCACAATCAGGCTGTGAGATTCCAAATGTATTAAACATTCCTCATGTTGGAAGTTGGAACTGCAAGATTTCAGAAATGAGTAGGAAAATTCCAATCCTGGATCATCACTCCTTTGACCCAATTAATATTTAACTCTGCATGGCTGATGGCTCCATCAGTCCATCATAGTGCAATAGTGGCAAAACAGAGCTATTTTAGAATCAGTTCATGTCTAATTTCCTCATTTACTCAATATTTAAACCAAATTCTTAAGTAGGTATGATTATATGATAATGCTGGTATCCATTATAAATTACTGGTCTACTTATAGGACTCAAAAATGAACTTGAGGGAGAGTAAAAAAAACTCTCTGCTTTGTCACTATGGCTGCTCCATTCTGCAGTAATAATTACTATAGTAATAATATAGGCCATAGGGCGTCACCGCCACGGTGCCACCTGGGTGCTGGGGGTATTACTTTAGATTAAGTGCATCCAAAAAATAGGTGTTTTTTTTAATTATATGTTTTTAATTTTTGGGTTGTAGATTGAGAATCTGAAATCTGTTTTTGGCAGTCACCCCAGCTGGCAGCCAGCAACGGAAATTTTTAATGGAACCTGTTCCTAACTGGACCTAACCTGCAAGGTTTTTGTTGATTGGCTTACGGCTAGGTTTTTCTATGTTTGGAGTCAGTCCGGCGGCCGGAAAAACCTAGCCAATCAACGAAAACCTCGCAGGTTAGGTCCAGTTAGGAACCGGTTCCATTAAAAATTTCCGATGCCGACCGCCAGAAACGGATTTCAGATTCTTAATCTACACCCCAAAAAACATATAATTAAAAAAAAACACCCTTTTTTATGCACTTAATCTAAAGTATTACCACCTGGCACCTGGGCTGGGGCCCTGTCGCCCTGAGGCCCCTGAGGCCTGAGCTACTTATACTATAGCCTCTATTGCAGCTGCTGGCAGCATAGCTTTTAATCTTATTAGGAGCAATATATAGCCTATAATATACTAAATATAGTAAATATACTATAGGGCCATAGGCTATTAACGTGGTACTGAGTTACTGACTAGAACCCGGACTATGAATTGACACTAAAAGTATACTTCTGGTTTATGACCTTTTTCGTACCTGTAAACTTTACGGAGTGCGCTGGGTTTACTCAGCTGCTAGAGCGTGATAATGATACCGTACATTAGTTAACATATACTGTTCAACAAAACAGGTTAATTTCGTGTTTACGCGGTTCCGTAGTCACCTAACTTACGTAAGTGCGGATAAATTAGAATTCGAAAATTTTGATATTTTTCATTGAAGTGAGTATGCCTAATTTTTAACTTGTGCATCGTTTTGGTTCTCACTTAAAAATTATTGATCATATATTTGAGAAACCTATTACGTTCAATTATTTAAAGATCGGATTCAAAAGCGGGATCCCTTGTGAATCAAGAAATGAAAAATACAAGAATCGGCCTATTTCTTCAGTGCGAGCATCATGAGCCTATTTCTTCAGTGCGGCACTTCTATTCCATATAATCCTATTTAATTCAAAGCCGGAACCGTATGGACCATAGTTAAATTTTATATGATATACTTCCCACCAATGCCCTTTGTTAGAATAGATAGAGTAATGGAATTGGGCTTAACTGCAAAAGTAATAAGTCAGCATTAGATTAAAATAACATAGAAAGCGCTCCATAGGTTGCAGTTTTTTAAGTAACGTACTGAATTCAGGACGAAAGAATATAAAAGCCCTAAGTTTTAGATAAACTTTGGCATATAAAACAAATTTTTGCACCCAGACTCAGTAGACTTAGTGTGAGCGAAAGTGCACAAAGCATCGCTCTGGACAATTAGACATGCAAATCAAATTTATTTCAGCCTACTATACATGAGGACCAAAAACAATTGCAATTTGTAACGAACTTAACTACACTAATGATAAATTATTTACCGCCGCGGCGAGCGACAAAATGAATTAATTCCGCTGTAATCAACTAACCTTAGAATTCTGATTTCCCACGATATGTAAAATTTCAATCAGAGTTTTCTTCAAATTTTTAAACAAACTTGAATGGAAATTCTTCATTGAATGTGTGTATTAATGTTCATATCGTTAATAACGGTATTTTAGTTTCGAATATGTAGATTCGGCGTGAAAAGGGTTCGAGATGACGGGATTTGAAAAAACGAGATTTTCAATTTGCAAGATCATCTATCTCAGTCAACGCCGGGTTAACATGCTAGTTAATAATTGAATTAAATTTATTAATAAGCTAATTTCACTAAAATAAGTCGAGCTACGTTTTTTGAGTTACATTGAAGCACTTACTTGTTTTAACACGTCCGTTATTAAAAACCGCGGGCAGTGGTGTCTTGTGGATTGTGTAAGTCTGGATAAACTGCGTTGAAGTCACCTCCAAGGATCAGGTCTCGTAGTGTGTTTAATGCTTCGAGTGTGGGAGTGTAGTGGGCCGGTAAACCAGATGAGTGCTCTGGAGGAATGTATATGTTGATGAGGGTAATGTGTTTTTTATCTTGTCTGGATGTGAAATGCTTGTAGTTCTGTGTGCTTGTCTACTTGTGTTAGGGTTCTGATGTGCGGCGTTTTCTCCAAGTAGGCAATATTATGGTGGATATATGTAATTAATATCCACCATATTCCCCGTGTTGTCTATCCTGTCTGATGGCAGTGTAGTTTGGGATGGATGGTGTCTTGTGCGAGTGTCTGAGCTTTGTCTCTTGTATAATGGCGACGTGAATTTTGTTGGTGTGCATGTATTGTTCGAGTTCGACATGCTTGGAGCGTAGGACATCAATGTTGAGTTGCAGAATATTAATGTTTTGATGGCAGGTTGGCCGTGTGCTGACTGGTGGTCGAACTTCAGAGACTGGGCGAGGAGGAGAGGGAGGTCCAGGCATGGGGCCATGTTGGAACCAGCGTCGCAATTGTTGCACAGTACAGTAGCAGTAGTTTAAGTAGTAGTAGTAGTAGTAAAATGATTTGTTAGCGCTGTAGCTATCAAGCTGTTTCGCACCGGAGGCCAAAAGCTAACATCGCCAACAAGGCGGAAGGTCTCAATTATGCACAGAACAGATCCCACTCACCCACGCAAGAAAATTTTATACTTGTGGTGCAGGTTGGGCACATAGTGATAGGGCCCGGGTTTGGCTCGATGTCGTCACCTAGCAGGAAGAGAAGGTACAGGGAACAGGCAGCCGGGTCTCCAAGTTCTCCATCAGAAAAAACCGTTGGTCTAAGCCAACCGGGGAGCGCTTGCCAGGACGCAGCACTCAGGGGAGCACTCCCCACGGCTCCTCAGTGAGGATGTAGTGGGGGAAATTTGGCCCTCCCAGAGGCGTCTCGCCACGACGTAGACGCGCCCCCAATAGCGAGACTCGGAACAGTTCCATCACATGGTGTATAATGTGGATATAAAAAAAAATCCCGACTTTCAGAGGATATAATAAATATATAGATATATTCTTATATGGTAACAAAGTACTAAGATATTTTAATCCCAAGCCAAAGCAAACACATTTATAACCAACCAGGTACAAATTCCACTTACTCGTGCTATTTTAGACCATCATTCTTATAAGCAATGCTTTGATTTAATAGTAAATTACGGAGCGAATTACGAGCGAAATTAACGACACTCACTGGAGCCAATTTTGCCGGTAACCTTATAGGTATGCAGACACTAACATTTATTACTGAATAACGACGTTTTAAAAAACAATTATCACTGGCTTCAGCAATAATTATTACTTATACTTTTGTAATAATTATATTAGAAAAATCTTAGTCATAATTGCTTTTGCTGAATAAACCGACAGAAGAGGCGTAAAAATGCATGCAGAAATTCCACTATGAACAGGAACTCGATACGTTACAATTGAAATGATAACTCGAGGAAAGACATGAAGACCTCAATTCGAAGTAACGAATTAGTACAAGAAATGAAAACTTCGAAGTCGAACAAGGAAAAAATTAGTTCTATTAGTGATGGCCTCAAAAAAAATAGATAAATAACAAAATGGTATACAAAAAAGACGACCCAAAATAAAATTACGAATTAGTACAAGAGATAATCAACTGAAGAAGAAAAATAATTAATAAAATGGATGATGATCTCGAATTAAAGGACGCAATAGTACATTAACTTTTCGTTGATATTCAGGCCGTGTGCACCATCACGGCAACTCCTGGCAACTACAGCCCCGTGTGCACCCGTCACGGCAACTCCTGGCAACTACAGCCCCGTGTGCACCATCACGGCAACTCCTGGCAACTACAGCCCCGTGTGCACCCGTCACGGCAACTACAGCCCCGTGTGCACCGTCACGGCAACTCCTGGCAACTACATTAGCTATTAACAAATACGACACGGAAAATAAAGAGTAAATTGACTACCCTTAAGGCCTTACAATAAGAGACAAGACACAAGAACAATCTCAAGCGAATAAGAAGGCACATTGATTAATTTAAACACAAACTACTCCTACAACGACCGAGAGAATCAACATGTTCCGGACAGACAGACGCAGCACCAACACGTCATCCATTATCTCAACCTCAACATTTAATGCTTGTGAATGTGTATCAAGAAACTGAAAAACCCAAAGCTAATACCGTATACTTAAATAAAATAATTAGAGACATTCATTTTACCTGCACTCACGTCCAGAATCGCACATTATAAATCAGCTGCAAATAAATCTAAAGTAATCCCCATACGCACTATTCTCGTTGCTAATATTCACTATATTCGTGTCATAGCTACATCATCAGAGCACCAAACATTGTTACTTTCCAACAAAATCAATAAGTTGAAGATCATCCAGCATTCCAGATGATTAATTTTCAAACCAATTAAATAAGGCTAGCACAAGAGCTATAACGAATGGGGGAAAAATATCCATAAAAAATCTTCGCTCGAAATATTCATTGTGAAATGAAAAGATGACAACAACAACAATGAATAAACTACAAAATGACAGATACTGACAGATAATAGATATAAGAGCTCTATGGAATACCTGCTGCCTCTTAAGAGTAAGAATTCGATCAAAATAAATGGGCAGACCATTCACAAGATCTGTACTGGAATTGCCGTATGATCAAATACGATAACCTGGAAATTACCGTATTACTGGTAAATTTAATACGTATTCATGAAAAAAATTCTATGACGTAACATCATACACGCAAAGCGCAGTATTTCTTTAACCATATGAAAACAAACATAACAATAAAGGTGCATAATAAAATAGATTTACAGGTAAAATATTCATTTTCGAGAGAAAATACATGCGCCACTGCATTAAAAAATGCATTTTTTATTAGTAAATAATAATAGAAACACTCGTTTTCAGGGAACATTCTTGAGGCTGAAAACTTTCAACTACATAAACTAATAAACTCGACTTAAAATATAAAATAGATTAGTGAGGCAAAAAAATACTCGTCTTTGGAAACTGACACGCGTGCTGGAGAAGGAACACTCCCCTGGATATATCCCTTAAAACATTCATTAAATAAAACTGATTGCAAATTATTTCTCAAATAAATCCTGGTAAGTTAGTTGAACTTAGTTCTAATTTAGTTCTCTACCTGATATCATATAAATATACAAGTGACCAACGGGAAAACCTTCAGGAAAAATGAACAATTATTAAAGTTGAAACTTTGAAAATGATACACTTTGACATTTGAAAGAAACTTCCACCGAACTTACAAAATTTCTAGGCCAGTTTAAAACAGAAAAATGTGGTATTTGTCGAGCGGTGTGATCAATGCAAATTGCACGCAACACTATTACAGCATTAACTAATTCAATGTTAACTGGAAGTATAACCTTGCGCTTAAACAGCGAAATGGGTAATGCAGGGTTAAAAACATCAGGGAAATGTCCAAGACTGGAGAATCTCGCAACTTTGATTACCAGAAACGCTTTATTTCTTATGAACAAGATTCGTGTTGTTTAAAGCTTTAGATCAAGCGAAGACAACTCAGGTTAGGAGGTGAATAAATATGACCAGCATAGGAAACGATTGATGTATCCGTAGATAACGTGATAAATTAATAGAAAAAGTTGTGATTGGTGATTCACTAATCGATTTGACAGCTGGTAATGTGTTTAACATGTTTACTGACATTGATATGAGCTTCCAAGCTTGACTCGGGAAAGACGTACTGCAGCATTACTGTGTACTTAACAACAGTACACTACCTAGTGTTACATGTATATAGCATGCCTGATACGAGTTACATGTCATATGATTCCAAGAAATTAGTCATGCCTGATACGCGATACATATCATATGATTCCAAGAAATGAGTAACTAGCGTTGTGCATGTTACAGGTGAAGTTCATGAATGCANCATATGATTGCAAGAAATGAGTTACCAGCGTTGTGCATGTTACAGGTGAAGTCCATGAATGCACGAGTTGAATGTCTTACATTCATGTTAATGTAATATTAATGTAGAACGCCTTACATGTTGAATGTAGAATGATCTGAACCCGTGCACAAGAGGTAACATGTGTATATATTCACATGCATGGTACAGATGAGAGTAATTAGTTTCCTGTATAATATGCCTAAAAGATAACGGTAATAAGTGTTTCAAATGACCTCCGTTTAAAAATAGTACTTATACGTGTTACCGGCTACAGTTTCACGTAATATAGCAAGTGTCACAAGTGACAACAAATCTTAGGAGACATAGTTACGTCGAACGCACCGAAAAGTGCAATTTGAGAAGCTCTGTTCTAAAATATCATCGTTCGTTATCAGCAACTTATTTTCTTCAAGTGCAACTGCCAAACATCAATAAAAAAAATTACAATGAAAAAGCTTCGTGTTTTGCATCTATCATGCTTCGTCACAGGATAGCTTTATTGTAACGCGGCGGTGAATACGATCTAATTTCATCAGCCCGGTCAAGCTTGTGGATCTCACTATTTCCAAGTAGGTACAGAAGATCGTTCACGTTAATCTACGCTCATTTCGAAGGTAATAAATTACAGAATTTTCTTATGCTTGCCAATCAAGTCCTACGTGGCAGCTTTCGAATCTTATCCGAATATTTTTTCCATCTTAGTAAACCATGAATTTAAAAGCAAATATTCATCACCTGTTCAAGCTTCATCATCAGTTCCAAAGTCACAGAATCTAATTTTAACATCAAGATTAAATGACAAATTTTCTCCCCAAGTCTCCGAAACGTTTCCAATGCATTCATAGTGACTTTAATTTGCGTTTTATCCATATTTTAACACTTAATAACTGTTTAGATCGTTTAATAATGTTAACCCTAGGCTATTTTACACAACTAAAAAATTTTTCATTGGACAATTGAAAGCTGACAGAAGACATGTGAAGGTTCAGGGCTGGGTATTTGAAGCCGAGGCAGCGCCGGGGGAGGGCAGCGAGGGCAGCTGTTCGGCCGCCGCAGCGCGATCTGCCAGGAACTTCTGGAAGGCGTCCGAGCTCACCTCCGCTCCATACGGCTGCGGGAAATTATTTAATATTAACATCGCTTAATATATATTAAGATTTATATCGCTTGTCATCAACACCACATTACTACTAATAAGCCTTATTGAAGTTTACGAATTTTCTGAGTTTATCACCGCTCCATACAGCTGTGGGGACATTATTTAATATTAACATCGCTTAATATATATTAAGATTATTATCGCTTGCCATCAACACTACATTATTACTAATAAGCCTTAATTGAAGTTTACGAATTTTTAATCTGGAAGGCGTCTGAGCTAACCTCCGCTCCATACGGCTTTGGGGGCACTTCCATATTAACATCGCTTGCAATCAACACAACATTTTTACCAACAAAACTTGTTGAAGTTTAAGAATGTTTAATTCAAGCTCCATCACATTTCTACCAATAGATTTTGTTGAAGTTTAAGAATGTTTAATTCAAGCCCCATCACATTTCTACCAATATACTTTGCTGAAGTTTAAGAATGTTTAATTCAAGCCCCATTTATACACATGTGCGTTCACATTTCAATGAAAATATAAAGCATAATACATATGCGAGTACAAAAATACGTAAATCATAAATTTTAAGTCTTGGTAGTGTAAGAGAGTTATTCTAAATGATTTTACTATTCGTATTTCTTGAGGTACAAATTCAAAATAGATAATTTATACATCAATAGAAAGAGAAAGATTAAAAGTTTTTTACATATTTATAAATGTTCAATACCCTATGTCCCCCTTGTGCTGCACGGCAAACATCTAAACGGCAGCCAAACTCGTCCCATACACGAGAAAGCATATCTTCTGTTACTGAGTGCACCGTAGCAGTGATACGGTTCTTCAGATCACCAGAGTTGCTGGTAGAGGCGACACGTAAACGGCTTCCTCGACTTAAACCCCATAAGAAATAAAAGATTGAAACCGTAACCTCAAAACGTAAACCCTTGACTCCCCATGACAGTTAAATACAGAGACTGCAGTACCGCCATCACCGGCCCCCAATTCCGTGTTTGAATAGGTTAAAAAAAACTTTCAGTGTTTCTGTTTCAATTGGTGTACAAATGATTAATTTAAAATTTATACTTAAATAAATACGAATTTATTTAATCTGGTCCATCATATAGAATAACTCTGTACATTTGTGTATAATGTAGAAGTATTTTGCAACGACAGGTTTTGGGGACTCATATTGGCACCCAGTTCAAGTGTTGATTTAAGGTCATTTCATCAGTATTGTTTACAGTGAATATAAATCCTGATTATTCTCAAGATAATTGAAAACAAGCCTTTAATTAAAACATGAATACAGCATAATTTATATTCAAAACAATAACTTCTTAATAACTTATTCATACACTGAAAAAGGAAGTGACTACAAGCCCGTAGCTAAAATGGTGCGCTCGGCAGTGAACGGATCGCTCGTAGATATTTAACTCTGGTAAATATACCAACTAAGTTTCTCAATTTTCAGCTAAACAATAGAGAAGAATAACATAAACTACATACAGAAAAATTTCTTCAGACAACTTCTTCGAAACTTGAAGAAAAAAACCAAAGACCTGGCGCAAAAAGATAATCATTTCTAAATAAAACAAAATAAAAACGCATAAAGCCCTAACGCAAAAGGAAAACCTTGAAGAAAAGGAGCAGGAAAAACAATTAAAGTTCTGACGCAGCAAGATAAACGTTGAAAAATCAGAGAAGAAAGACAATAAAAGTCCTGACGCAGCAAATTAAATCTTTAAGAATAACAGCAAAAAAAACAATATAAAAGTTTTGACGCAGCAAAATAAACGTTCATAAATAAGAACAAAAACCAATGGTTAAATAAATATATACTTCACCTGCGAGCTCATCCAGCGCTCCATAGACTCGAAGTTGCTCTCCACCTCCTGCGTGAGTAATGAACGTCAATATGAATATTCTCAATAATAATCATATAATATTTTCTAAGATATGTATCAATAATAATTTTTACACGTTTCAAAGCAGAAATGTACCTACTTTTACTTGATACACAACAAGTAAACAAAATAGCAACTGGCACGGCATAACTATACACAAAATAGTAAACATGTTAAAACTTCTTCCTAAACATACCCTACGTTAACAAACTCAATGCCACTGAACAGGCAACGTTCTCTGATAAATGATCGAGTCTCGTCGTCAGTGTGAAGAAAAATTGTCCAGCACCAGTAATGAGTAGGCTTTTTCACAAGAAAATATTCAATGCGGTGGGAATTAACGATGATCTTTCATTCAATAGGCAGTTTTATCACTTCAAACCACAGTTCAAGCGATACTACCTACTGCAGTGATCAACAAAATATTTACAATTTGTACATACATTTTCCAATTTTTACCGCCCAAAAAATTTTCACAAGAAATAATAACGCACGACAGCTTGCTCACTAATAGAGTAAAATAAAGTAATTTTATCGTTCGTGATTTTATCCCTCGATAATGTTACAAGTATGCAAAAACTGGACGAGATACGCTTAGAAAAAAGAATTTCATGGCGTCTAAAGTAAAATATAATGTAGCATAAGGCTGAAATTTTTATCAAAAAATTAACGGGAAAAAAGTTAATGAACACAAAGTAAATAAGTATCAATACCCTAAAAGGAAAAAATTTTGTTGAAAAAACACAAAAGGGAAACGGAATATTTGCGCAGCAGTGCCTGACATCTAATTAGGCAGCGCTAAGTAGCTGCCGATTGAGAATTGAAACACTTCAGGATAAAACCACTTCAAAAGGCGAGAATATATCAGCTAATAAATGTTGCTGTAAGTTTCATTCGCCCCGAGCAGTCAACATCCAATATAATCTAAACGTAAGGCAATTAAATTTGTTTTCAAATCTCGGGCCACTGAGATTACGACAGTAAATTCATTAGTAATCCGGGCATCTGAGTTTACGGGAAGTTCATTAGTAATCAAACTCAGACAGTTCAGAGATTCAGTAAAGGCATAACCGGTGAGATTTTATTAAACTCGCGGTAGAAACAAGCAATGATTAGAAGCGGGAATACGAGAAAATTATGTTCGTTGAATGCGTGCCTTGGCAACGCGCTTTGTAACTCATGTTTAGAAACCATTATTGATGCTCCCAGAACACGCGACTGATATGCCGCTAGTCCCCTGGAACTTCGAGAAGAAACTTGAATACGTAAGTGAAACAATGATAGAGAAGCGTCAATGATGTGTAATATTTACATAATAACCTTCAGTTTCCGTAAGAGCCGCGTTACGGATCAAGAGCTACGCTGTAGCCCCTATTATTTTCCAAGGTAAGATTTTTATTCAATTTCAACGAACATAATTTCGGGTTAGAATTGTTAATAATAATTATTCGGTTAGAATAAGCAAAAGCGTTATTTATGGCTATTGTATCGTAAACTTAACCTTTTACGGGACGATTAATAACTTTGTGACCTCGCTGCAACTTTACCACTTACTTCGAATAGAATAATGACAACTTAAAACATTGCAACTGATTAAGCTACTCACCACTAAAACAGTGTTGATATGAGGAGTTAATTGCAAAATAAGCATTTGTTTATAAGATCCTGTGATTAACGAGGTTAATGCCAAACAAGACCATGCCAGGTTCTCTAACATAACACAACATAGTGATGTCGGCACTCAAGAATAGACCTGATGTAGCCTGTCGCCGATTCTTGTACGTTACGTTACTTGTCCACAGAAGATCTAAAAACAGGTCATTCGACCGGATCTTTTCCAAACTGAAGATAGTTTGAAATAACTACTATAAATAGCCCACCGGGTTCGATATGGTGCTAGGCATTTCAAGTCTGATATTCCCATAAAACAACATATTCCATAATCCAAACTGATGATAGTTTGAAATAACTACTAGAAATAGCCCATCGGGTTCGATATGGTGCTAGGCATTTCAAATGTTATATTCCCATAAAACAACATGTTCCCATAAAAGGTTAAGCTCCAACACACGCGCTTTTAACAACACGCGTTGCATCATAAGAACGTAGCCAGCCACGGCAGCAGAACTCGCTTACCAAGAGCGTCGCTTCCACAGCCTGCCGCCCTCCGCACACACCGGAATGATGATGTTTAAAAATGTTTATACCATCACATGCTCTTAAATTCATACGTAACATTAGCAAATTGTGATTAATTAATTATCAAGATTGATTGATCAGAAATATATTTAGTTTGACAACCAAGGATAACTGTTTCATTCACAGATTTACGCTCATTAATCTTTTACCATACGAAGTCTATGACATTAAATTTTAAGGGATACATCGTGCACTTTACTCGACCTTGCAAAGAAGGGAAAGGAATAGTAGAGATATTAGATGGTCGGTCCCGTATACATGAAGGCATGGGCACAAATTAAAACCTACGATGGGATAACACAGTAACGATCGAGCCTACAGAAACAATCTCAGAATTGCAGGCTCGGTTTAAATAAAAATCTCTCATAAGATGAAGACAGCAGAAAGTGTACCTCTCTACATTAGGGTCCATCAAATCATCACAATTTTACATAATCTATGGTATTACATTAATATTATAAACACATTCATTGAGGACAATAATTTAGGTGAAGAAAAATTATTAAGGCATGGATCCCAAAAATTTATATCCTAGAAGTCGAATAGACCTGCAGCTTGCAATCCATTAATGCCTTCATTACCGCATAAACCTTATGAAAATTTCTTCCAAATAATTAATACTCAAGTGAGGGATAACAATATACCAATAATATAAACAAAGAGAAGGAATTAAACTATTAATAAGATCATGACGCGCTTACCGGATCATGACTTTTGTTGACGCTGTTGCTTGCAGCACCAACAGCGGCTTGTAATTCTTGGTCCCTGCAATAAGTTCATTCATGAGAGAAGTCATTGTGATAATATATTAAACTGAGGGCACCCATGACACTGCAGCACACCCATGACACTGCAGTGCACCCATGACACTGCAGTGCACCCATGACACTGCAGCACACCCATGACACTGCATGGCACCCATGACACTGCAAGGCACCCATGACACTGCAGCGCACCCATGACACTGCAAGGAACATACAGATCACAATACTCGGAACTCATTGAGTGGAAGATGAGGGTCATTATTCAACTCTAGGAACACTCATCCTCAACTGTAACTATTTCAAGAAGCAATACAAGTAACTACTCAGCCTAGTTGTATATCACTTAAACCCTAAATATTATAGAAGATAGTTTACTTCTTGGCGCCATCAGCGACCGATGTTCTGGACTGAGCGAAGGAGTCGAAGTCATCACCATTGTCCCTCCTGCCAGCGTCCAAACCTAATAAAATAAATCGTGTTATGCTTATAACTGTACATAATTATCAGTACATTGTTACCGGGTCTATTGTATAGGCTATTTTACAGCTCAAACTTAAGGCAGCACTATTATTTTATCCATTTTTTACATATTAGCCATTCAAGTCATTTTAAGCTCTACATTTGATTTGGTTGACATCGAAAAAAATCTTACTCTGTTTATTAATATGGTTCATAGATTTACAAGTAGGTACTTTTTGCAGTACAGAGCATAATTCAAGACAAGTAAATAAAGAAAGAAATTTATTAAAAGCAAATTAGTTTTCAATAAACTTTTAGCAAGCAATTTCACTTGTGCCTTTTCAACAAATTACGCATGTTCTTTTTCAATATTCTTTAGATTTTTTTCAAACTTTCTTCAACTTCTTTGTTGCTTAATTATTTCTTTATTATTTTTCACACTATTACTGATGTTGCTAGAACCATCCGTCGTCAATCATCAAATATAGTTTCGGTAGGTTTCAACAGTACGGTATTCAAGGAAAGAGATCAACAACTTCAATTCCACACAAAATATGCAGCGGCTGCCAGCAATAAGCCCGTGTCGATGAGAGGGGAATGAGGGAGATGGAGAGGCAAGGAGAGGGAACGATGGAAAATGAGAGGCAAGGAGAGGGAACGATGGAAAATGAGAGGCAAGGAGAGGGAACGATGGAGAAGGAGAGGCAAGGAGAGGGAACGATGGAGAAGGAGAGGCAAGGAGAGGGAACGATGGAGAAGGAGAGGCAAGGAGAGGGAACGATGGAGAAGGAGTGGCCAGGAGAGGGAACGATGGAGAAGGAGAGGCCAGGAGAGGGAATGATGGAGAAGGAGAGGCCAGGAGAGGCAACGATGGAGAGGCAAAGTTTGGCATGAGAGAGCTGATGAGAGGTAGTGATAGATGTTTTGAGATAGCTTCTCGAACATATAAGGAGGTTCTACATAGAAAGTGAACCTACAGACATTGATACCATCCGAGATTGACCCCTGATGACATAAGCATAATAATCAGTAAAATTGAGACCCAATGAAAGTGACAGCCGCAGATATAAAGACCCACTGAGGTTGCCGAGCTGCTGGGGCAGAGGAGACAGCCTCGTAGCTGGCAGGACAGGAGGCAGCGCGGGGGCGTCGTCAACTGCCAGGTCAATAAGGGAAACTTCGCCCCCACTTGAGGCCCCAACGGCTTCATCCACGCGCCTAGAGGCTCCCAGGGCCTTACCCCCCACCGCCCCAGCGTCCCCAAGAGGGGGAGGACGCGAGGGAGGGCGATGTGAACTCCCCAAGACGCCTTCAGGAGTCCTCACGGGGCTACTTTTGGCCCGCGACTTCGACATGTGGCGGTCATAGCTGCAAATATTTGTTTAAATTCATTTATTTAAGTCATTAATTTACATATTTTAAAATATGTATTTAAAAAGTTATAAGTCATGCACACGTGCTAACTACAATTCAGTGATAAATTTATTCCTGCAACTAGTGCCAGGGCTGGCTTTTCTCAACACGCGCAGATGTTAAAAAAGAGCATTTGTTAAGAGTGTGAAAAAACGGTTTCCGGGCAGTCGGCTGGCTGGTCTCATGTCCAGTGGAGACACAAGTTTTAAATATTCAAATAATAGACATAAGAAGGCTGGATGGTGCGGCACCCATCGAAGCTAATGGTTCAAGTAAGAAAATAGTAAAACATTTGGGTAATGTTTAAACCTTCAGATACAAAAATGTCAGGAAGATTTTAAAGTACTGTTTGATGATCCTGGACAGGATATGTACAAAAACGCTATCCATAACGTCACACAACGGCTAAGTTATTACGGTACAAAAACGTTATTGATACGTCACGCACCGAATGAAAAAGTTATTGATGCGTCTAGCACCGAATAAAGACGTTATTTATACGTCACGCACCGAATAAATACGTTATTGATGCGTCACGCACCGAATAAAGACGTTCTTGATGCGTCACGCACCGAATAAAGACGTTATTGATACGCCACGCACCGAATAAAGACGTTATTGATACGCCACGCACCGAATAAAGACGTTATTGATACGTCACGCACCGAATAAAGGCGTTATTGATACGTCACGCACCGAATAAAGACGTTATTGATACGTCACGCACCGAATAAAGAAGTTATTGATACGTCACGCACCGAACTAAGACGTTATTGATACGTCACGCACCGAATAAAGACGTTATTGATACGCCACGCACCGAATAAAGACGTTGTTGAGGAGGTCGTTGATACGCAGCAGGTCTGCCGTGAGGATGTCATCAGAGACGCGGGCGACGAGCTCCACGACACGCTTCTGCATCGCCTGGCACGTCGCGTACAACTCCTGTACAAAATTCTGTCATTAGTTTCTTTCTTTAAATCGTAGATACAAAAATTTTTCAGGTAAAGCTGGTAAACGTTAATGATGTCAGTAAGCGTACAACTCCTGTGCAAAATTGTGCCATTAGTCTCCTTATTTAAATCGTAAATACAACAATTATTCAGGTACACTTTAATATTGTGAGAAAGCATACAACTCCTGTACAAAATTGTCCCATTAGTTTCCTTATTTAAATCGTAGATACAGCAATTTTTCAGGTATACTTTAATATTGTGAGTTAACGTACAACTCCTGTAAAAAATTGTGTTATTAGTTTCCCTATTTAAATCGTAGAAACAATTATTCAGATATATTTTAATACTGTGAGTTAGTGTACAACTTCTATATAAAATTTGTGATTATTTTCTTTCTTTGAATAGTACCGTAAAATGGGGTAACTTAGACCGGCGGGGTAACTTAGACCACTTTTCGTATTTTTTAACAAAAACCCCCAAAACTCAAAAACTATTTGACATAGAAAAATTTTGTCAATGGGCATTAAAGGCCTAATACTGAGGCTACATAACACTGTCTCGACCACACCGAGCTCCTTGACAAGCTTCTCCCGCACCTCGTGCGTCACACCTGTAAATAAGATCAGTTAGACAAGAATAATGCGGTGATTTAAAATTAATGTAATCGTGGAGAAGTAATTGGATAGTAAATGGTATTTATATACGAGATGATAACTTGCTTCTTCAGGAAGCTGTGCTCTACAGTTGCTGATTAAAACTTCAAGTTGATAAATTTTGAAGCAGATTGCGAAATTCCGTAAATTTCTGCAGAAGAACACAAGTCCAACTTTGAACGAGAGCAAAATCAAAAAGTGAGTGGAGACGTTGAGGCCGGCATCAAAGCCGGCTGTGCTTCAAAACATTGGGAGCCTATTAATGTGTGTGCTAGTCCAAGAACTTCAACCCAATAGTCAAATACAAAATTCCATTTTAGGAATTAATAAGGAGGTTATGGTGCGCACAAATGGAAATAACGCGACTCAGACTATAGTCACACCCTTGCCGTTAGGTTTAGCTGTAGGTGAATAAATATGAGGTTATTGCCACTGCAATCACAATAATAAAATAAGGACTTCTCGGAAATAATTTGTCCGAAAAAAAAAACTCGAGAACTTGCACCACATGAATTACAACAAAGTCTTGTATCATATTCACCCTGAGCTGGGGGAGGGTAGGCTGGAGCGGGGGGTGAGGGTGTTGAGGGATGGCGGGGAGAAGTGCCCCCTAAGGTGGGGGGTCTTAACTCAGCCCCTGCTCCTCTGCCCGCATCATCCCCAGCACTGCATTGTAGGGGCGAGATGCTCTGCAAAATGTTGTCTTGTGAACATCGAAGTTGACAATTGAAGGGAAAATGTGAAATTCAATTCCATCATACAAATGTACTAGTGTTCAATAGGTTCAATAGTGTTCAATAGTGGCTATATATACACTATTGAACTCTATTTGAAAGTGTTCAATAGTGGCTATTGAACACTATTGAACACTATTTGAAAGTCTTAAATAGTGTTCAATAGTGGGTATGGAGGATATTATTTCGATCAAATCAAAACATTAAAGTGGACAATGAATTTTCCTCTTAACACAGAGAAATGAATATACTTAGCTAATCATAACTAGTAACTCAATAACTAGTAACTCCATATGGCAATTTGCTGAAACAAATTTCGAGAGAATTTTGTTCAAGTTCATTCCAAAAAAGTACATAATATAATGACTATGAAGCCAATTTGAGTTAAAAAGTCATATTTACGATAAGTTAATTTTTAGGCAATTCCGTCTCCAATTAAAGCGTCCCGAAAGCTAGTGTGCAAATTTACTAGTGTAGAGAGTGGCAAATATTTGAGATTATAGTTCCAGTAATCAACACCGCCAACCTGGTGATGAATAAACAAGGTCAATATCATCCATCTTCAATAAGGTCAAGTTTAAAATTTCATACCATCTGACACTAAGAAAGTAGAAAACACATTCCAAAGTTATAAATTAATTAAAAGACAGATTGAAAAACCTGAAAAGTAGGTAAACATGCCGTTTATCCATGAGGCCAATTTTTCTCATGAGGAGTGATAACAAGAGCAGCATCAGCATCTTCGTCCACAACAATCGGAATCAAGCTGTCATTTCTTTTAAAGGACGTTATCCTTATAGCTAATTATATAGCTTAGTTGCCAGCCAATTTTCAACTCGGTTAGGATTGATGATGAAGGCAGTATCAGCTTCTCCTGTAACAATTACCTATATAACTTAGCTTCTAGCTGAATACTTATTATAATAATTATGATAAAATCTAATTATTCAAATTGCATATAATTTTATCTTACTTTGTGAGGAGTGATGATGGGGGCAGCATCAGCTTCAGCAGGAGGGAACTCTATGCCCTTGTGCTTGAGCTCACAGTAGACCTGACACACGCCCGACAGCTCCGGTTGGTGCTTGAAGGCCTCATTCCAGGACTGAATCATCAACAACACCTTCAGCTGGATGCAGCTCGGAGGGTCGTTCTTTGGGCCTGCAATGAGTTTACAGTTTTGTACTTTATAATTGGATTTGGAGTAGGTATTTCTCCAACTCCTGGCAGTCAAGTTGGTTGCAAAAAGCTTCAACTCAGCCAACTGACAGGCATCAAGAAATTAAACCATCATGAATGAACAGGTAAAATGAATTTAAATTTCTAAAGACCACAATACAATACTTAATGCTTCCTAATTTAAAATGAGAAGGTATAAATGCTGAGAAAGTTTAGTACTACAGAAAATATTCAAGTGTATTCTTGATTGTATTGCTTACCAATTAATTTTACAAGATCCTGGACAAATTCTTTGCTGCACACCAAAATGTGGAAAGAATAGCCAGTGTTTTTGACACATGACTCCAGCAACTGCAAGAGAAGAATTCAACTTCAGAGAGGAATAAGATTGACAGCAAAAACTATTTGGCAGAATAACACAAATATTACATTCTTTGGCTCTAGGTGTCAGTAATACTAATGTTGTACCATCAATACAACCTTCTTTTGAAAAAGTTTTCATAAGAAATTCTGTTACTTCTACACAGTAGGCAATATTACTAGCCAGACCTAGATACTTTTAAATTTCATAAAAAAGTAACAAAATTAGAGAAGATGTACAAAAATCTAACTCTTAATAATTAGCTAAACTGTTATAATTTACCAGGCAACAGAAATCAGTCTGTCACTGTCTATTGTTTGAAATCATCTTACCAGCCTCTCAAGTTCATTATTCATAGCAAAAAGAATTCTGCACAAAATTAACTCATTATGCTATACAACGTATTTATAAAGAGAAGCATAACAAACTAGAAGGAGTAAAAACATTCAATGGCACATTATTCGCAATCTAGAGGAATAATTTAACTTCAAGTTTTTTAAAGATAACTGAAAAATTCCTAGATAAAAAAAGAGGATAGGATGAAATAAACATTTATTTTGAATATTTTCAATCAGTGAAAAGGATTATAAAATCCTTAAACGTGCTTCAAAACATTGGGAGCCCATTAATGTGTGTGCTAGTCCAAGAACTTCAACCCAAGAGTCAAATACAAAATTCCTTTTTTAGGAATTAATAAGGAGGTTTTGGTGCGCACAAATGGAAATATAATGTGCCAAAAAACTTTCAAACTCACTGTTAAAGTTTAAGTACCGTAACTATTTTAATAATTAATAATGAAAGTGTTAATGTATATAAAACTATTTAAATCATGCACTAAAAAACTTTCAAACTTACTGTTAATGTATATGAAACTATTTTAAAGTTCTTAGGAGACTGGTTGAGTCTCTTCTTTATAGCTCGGACAGCATCTTTGGCCAATTCATCACCACTGTCGCTGTTGATCAAGTCACAAATTTCCAAGTTGAGGGACCAATCTTCAGATGCTAGTGTATCACTTGTAGCTTTTTCTGAAAAAATAAATCATATTAGAAAGAGGAACATTGGAGCAAGTTCCTCAAGAAATAATTACAAAATTTTATGACATATTNCCCAAGAGAGAGGAAAAAAAATTCCTGGGGTCAGCAATGTGTTGGTACTTACTACTTACTGCCATTTCATCAGTTCAAATTGCATTAAAATAGAAGTCTATGATAACATTGGTAATGGTAAGAATTGCCCTTTACAAGAGTGTTACTTTATAATCAATGTTCATTTCTAAATATTTATTTTCTTCAGAAAATTAAAAATTCTATGATCAAAGTCCTACATTAAATTATTCAAAAGATAGATTAGTTTAATACATTTGGAAATGCTGCAAAGCAGGTGCCAGGCAGTGACTTGGCACCTTTGCTGAACTTGTTCTGATAAGATCCCACATGCATATCATCACACAAGCATACAATTGATTCCTCAGAAAATCTTAGAATTATGATCCTTTCAGGGTTGGCAATGATTAAATCAAAATGATTAAATCATGTGATTAAATCACTTGATTTTTTTATAAAAAAATCATGATTTTTTTTATTTTTTTGATTTTTTTGATTTTTCCATATATTTAAAAATATTGAGTGGCAGTTTTTAATTTATATTGAGGTAGGTATTGTTATTCATGGCTTAGTATAAATGTACTATGAATGACAAATTGGTATATAAACTTGTTGCCTTTAGTGTGTATTAGGTTCCAATAAATGGAATGTTTTTGGTACAGAGGCATCAAGAGTGCAATACATTTTACGTAGCTAGTAGCTTAGCTAATTCTTATAAGGCTATAAGTAGCCTAACTATTTGTTATATATTGATTACAATTTAAATGTGTTAGCTAGCTTATACAGGGTGGGGCAGAACTGATTGAACAGTTTTGAGGTGAAATTAAAGAGTAATGGAGGTACATTAAGAAGAAAGTTTATTTTCCTCATGATTAGCATAACATACCATTTAAAATACTTATGTTTTAAAAACAATATCAGGAAGATGGGGTTTGCTAGCTGCATCACACTGTTGGAGTTGTTCTCGGAAGTTTCCTAAAGCACGTTCACACATATGGCGAGGTATGGCCATAACCTCTGCTGCAATAATCTGTTCCCTTAGCTTTTTTTGTATATTGAAGCCAGTTAAATGGTCAATATTTAGCTCATTACCTTGTTCCATACACACTTTACAAAGCTAATGAATAGACTTATCAATATTTGTTTACCCGAAAATCCCTAAATGGTAAACACCACCTTGGCCTGTTGGCCATTATTGGAGGCAATAAGTGCCCTTATTAGCCATCCATTATGATCCATATACTGTTATTGTTAGTAGGCTAATTGCAACATAAAAAATAACACCTCAAAAAAGACAAAAAAGCTGAAAAAATAAAAAAAATCAAATAAATAAAAAAAAATCATGGAAAATTCAAAAAATCATTGATTTTTGATTTTTTTGATTTTTTTAAAAAAATCAAAAAAATCGCCAACCCTGGATCCTTTCATTATTTCATGTGTTGTTGAAAACAGCAGGCAAAATGTGCGTATTCTGACTAGTCTCGCTAGTCTGTGGAGCCAAAATGTGTAGGCCTACTTCAGCAAAGCTTCCATAAGAAGTACCTAGGAAAATTCCTATCTTGAATTGGGTTGTTCCAGCCCAATTTTTCAGTTGAGCTCACAATTATTAATGCAGGGCTTCTGTAGGCTAAGCAGCAAAATAGCTAGTACAGTCAACTGGGGCTACTTGGGATGATTTTGAACATTTTTCATTCATAACTTCTTACTATGAAACATTTCATTAACAAGTTTAGGCTCATTTGAAAGCTCTTTGCAAGGGCTATCACATGGCTTCTCCAAAAAAATTCCATATGCTATTTGTAAGGTGCCAGATGCAAAAAAGTGTCCTGAGTAGCCCCGTTCGATGGGGCTACTTGGGACACTTGGAATAAAACTTCATTTTAAAACATTTGAAGCATGTAGAGTGTACTCATCCATTACTAACAGTACTCTGAAGTCCTCCTCTTTCATTGTAGATTTGTAGATGATGTAGAGGTAGAATAAATGACATTTTCTGTGATTTTTAATTGTTTTTACTTTACTGATTTGATATTACATATGCATTAATTACCGTAGGTATCATTGATGCGATATTACCGTATTATTGATGCAATACCTATTACTGTATCCATGAACATGCCATTGAGTATTTACAACAACCTTGTCCACTGCAAGCTTCATATCAGCAGCCTTATAGCATTTTCTCTGTATCTGTAAGCTTACAGGATGGCTTATAATTTCACACCATTTTAATTGGGTTAAGTGAATTTACTATAAAAAAAGATCTTGAAAAACATAACTGAAACAGAAAGGAATGTTTTTGTGACAACCATCATATGTTTTGGAGAAATATATCATGAATCATGAATGCTGATCAGGTATGAGCCTATGAGGTACCTACTCCTAGAATCCTAGTAATGGTTTAAAATGATCTAATGAATTACACCGCAGCTACAGTCATAGACAGGAAGATTTTGAAGAGTTTTTTTTTTATTTAGACCTTGAAATAACCTGCAAAAAAGATTCGAAACTCTTTTTGACCAACTGTTTTGTCTTTCTTTCAGTTTATCATATGTGTCTCAGTCTGACAGTCAGAGACAGAGAGGACACAGGACAGAGTCATAAGCCTTTCTCAAGGAATTATTTAGAACAACAATATGTAAATTATGAAGAAAAATGATCTAATTAAAGTGGAATAGTTGGATACTTACCAATTTTTTGCCCGATAGGCGTTGTTAGAGGATTAGTGAAGAAAGCCATTTTGCCATCTGACGTCACGTTAGTGTCAAAATCATATGGACAACTTGTTCGTTTCAAAAGAACGATTCTGATTCTAAACAGACATCTTAAAAAGAAAAATGTACCCAAACAAAATCTGCAATAAACAGAAGGAATATACTAATTCAACTATAAATTTTTTTAATAAATAATTATATCACTAATTAATGTATATATATGATTTAAAAATGCAGGTTATTTTGATCTTATCACAAGTGAAAACTGAAGTCATTTGAAGACTTGCGAACATATTTGGATGACTAAAGCGTGAGATATTGAGAGCCATGACGTTATTACGCATGAAGTTTTTTGTTTGAACTCGTGACATAGTTCACACGAATAAGATATCAAAGTTTGCTCGTCATTGGATGGATATTGCACCATTTGTGAGTCGTTATAGTGTATTACTGCAGTAAATTTCATTTTTATTAAATAAAAATGAAATTCCCTAATTTCCTAATCCCGAAATTCCTCCCTAATCCGTCCGTCCCTTTTTTTATACAGTTGAATATATTTCCTTTTTAGCACATTTTCTCATTTATGGAAAAAATGCACTATTGTGCTCGTTATGTCCGTCTGTCTGTCCGTCTGTCCGTCCGTCCATGACCTCAAGTTTTCGTCGACGAGAAAATGCGCTCTCTGTCACTCACTGCAGTGGGTACTGAGTTATAATTTTTTATAGAATTTTTCAGACAGTAAAACTCACTTTTCGCATTTAAATTTATTCATTTAACTTAGAACTTCTCGAACCATTAGGAAAAGCTCAAATTCTATTAGATGCCCTACTAAGTATAAAATCCGATGGCCCCACAGATGTCTGTTAGTCCCATAGGACTGGACATCTTAAGGTTGAACATCTTAATTCAGTCCAGGGTCAAGAATAAACAACATACTACGCTTATGTGTTGAGTGTTCTTCTAATATAAAATAAATCTAATCATGTGCTCAGAGTTACGTTTCTATGGCAACGCGTCCTATCTATTCGAGGTCCTTCTCCGGGTCATATCGATAAACTTGCACCACAACATCGCCGCAGTTTTTAACTTAACGCTCGTTAAAAGCGTTTTAAGGACTTTATTCCTAATAGACGTAATAGGACGTTCATTTTATGATATGATCTGTCCCAGTGAACAATCGCAGGTTCAAGATTCGGTGAGATGAGTAGAACAGGTAGGATAAAACCACAGCATTAACGCCGTAAATACTTCTCTTTATTATTGCAAAGAAGTACATGAAAGAATACACAACGATTTTTGTATTACATCCGAACGAATCAATAATAATTTCCACCAAAACAAGAGGCTCACACGCTCACAATAGAGAACTGAACGGCTTGTAAGACGTGGGAATGCTAGCAGCGCGGTATTGAGTCCCTTAAGGTCTGTGACTCGTGCCAAACGTTTGGTTGTACCAAACGCCCTATGGTTCGGCTAAGGCGTGTAAGTCAGAGACCAGACTGCGCTAGCGTCTTACAATTGTGTTTCGTATTTGGGAATGAAACACAGTAGGAGTTCTCCTCATTTACTGGAACTAGGTCTGGAGACCAGGTTACGCGCTGTATTACAGATTTGTAAATGGTTATGACTACCGGAGTTACTCAATATTGCAATGTCTTAGGTAGGTGCTAATATTATAAATAAATAGCTAATTCATATTTAACAGTATTTCAGTTGAAGTTGATAACTAATTGTGATGTCTAAGGCAATGACATGAATAATGATATTGAGTTAGCGTTGATGGGTAACTCTGCTAGAATTCACTAGGCTTGCAACGTTCCTAGAAAATGAGTGTCGGGGGTAACTTGAGGAAACGTATATACATGGTCGCTACAGATATCCCCCTCCTAGATCGAAATAGGTTCGATCGATACTTTATGACTAGATTTGGCAAGTCGTTTGCGAGTGGTGGTCATTGTCATCACTCTCACACCTCGTTTCCATTTTCGTTGCAGGGAGAAATTCATTTTCTTGCAGTCGTTCCAAGGCTCTGGTGGTAGTGACACTGCAGAACTGAAGTTGCGGGATTGTTTTGTTGCTGAGCTGTGGTGTTGCACGTGCCTTTTGTGGTAGCTTCAGTGCAACTGCAGATACAGGCGGTCTGTCGGTTGACAGGGATGTATGCGAGTCAGTTGAAGCTGTGGTCTGACCGGTGACAGGCTCTAAGGCGTGTAAGTCAGAGACCAGACTGCGCTAGCGTCTTACAATTGTGTTTCGTATTTGGGAATGAAACACAGTAGGAGTTCTCCTCATTTACTGGAACTAGGTCTGGAGACCAGGTTACGCGCTGTATTACAGATTTGTAAATGGTTATGACTACCGGAGTTACTCAATATTGCAATGTCTTAGGTAGGTGCTAATATTATAAATAAATAGCTAATTCATATTTAACAGTATTTCAGTTGAAGTTGATAACTAATTGTGATGTCTAAGGCAATGACATGAATAATGATATTGAGTTAGCGTTGATGGGTAACTCTGCTAGAATTCACTAGGCTTGCAACGTTCCTAGAAAATGAGTGTCGGGGGTAACTTGAGGAAACGTATATACATGGTCGCTACAGGCTTTATTTTACGCGTTGCAAAAGCGACATCTCTATTTGACGCTCCTTTTTAGCGCATTTTCTCATTTATGGAAAAAATTCACTATTGTGCTCGTCATGTCCGTCCGTGCGTGACCACAAGTTTTCGTCGACGAGAAAATGCGCTCTCTGTCATTCACTGCTGTGAGTACTTAGTTAAATTTTTTCGTCTCAGCTGCCGACAAAATATCCAATCAGCTACTGAAAGTAAAAGATATGAGCATTGAAAATCAGATGCTAATCGAACTTTCATCAGTGCAGAAATGGAATAGAAAAGCCCGTATATTAATTAAATGACAAAAGTGTTTTTTTAGTATAAATCCCTATTAATTATTAGGTTCTGTGTCCTCCATAATTTAATCGGTGCTAAATAAATCAACATGAATAATCATAGCCCGTTTTTAGCGCATTCTCTCATTTATGGAAAAAATGTACTATTGTGCACGCCATGTCCATCTGTCCGTCCGTCTGTCTGTCCGTCCGTGACTTCATGTTTTCGTCGACGAGGAAATGCGCTCTCTGTCACTCACTGCAGTGAGTACTGAGTTATATTTTTTCACTTTGAATCGCTGCTCCTCTGTCCTATGCTCCATGTTTTCTTTCTGTAAGAGAGAAGACCTCACTTAAATAGTTACTTTTTATTGTCTTTATTTTATTGTTTAATAGTGATTTTATTGTAGCATTGTTTCCCGCAGCAGGGCACGGCTCGAGGCAGGCAGTGGCAGACCGTTGGACCGCTGACACTCGAAACGCTGTCAGCTGCCCTGAGGAGTCAGCACCCTCAGCTGCCTGCACTGACAGCTGACAATGCCAGGCGGATCTGCTCTTTGCCTGACTCCCTAGATCTGATGCTCAGCTGTAAGTATATTTTTTGATAGCAGTGTTTCTAGGTGTGCATGTTTCTAGAGTAGTTGTTGATTCCACCCGAATCGGTTAACTGTAATGCCAAATTTATATAGTCACTTCGTACAATTTTCAATCATCGGATTAATCATTTACCGTTAAAATAGGTTTGAATAAAATTCTATGAACTAATATTAATCGAAGCAATACATCTTTGAATAAAATAAAATAACTAACTGATCGCTCGTTTCGTCCCCACCTACCTCGACATGATTGCTTCACGCTTGCACTTACTTTGATCCATCGAATATCTTCAACATTCATTATGAATAAAAAATTTGAAAATATGACGGAAGATGAAACAGATGTTGACTTACCCTGGTATATATGTGTGTATATGTGCGTATATATTTATGTTGGTGATGTTGCTTAAGTTTCAATTGCCATACATTTATCTGAAGCATCTTTTCATTCCTTTCTTTATGTAATGAATATGTTTTCGTGATTTTGTTTCGAATGTATACTTGTGACAAATTTACAATTCACTCAGAAAAATATAGAATCTTAGACCCAATAAATTATCTGGTCGTCATATCGATATTAACAGATGAGAAAAGTATAAACTTTTTAATAATTTCTCTTACTTTCTCAATGTATTTTTAGCGCATTTTCTCATTTATGGAAAAAATGCACCATGGTGCTCGCCATGTACGTCCATTTGTCTGTCTGTCTTCCTGTCCGTCTGTCTGTCTGTCTGCCCGTCTGTTCGTCCGTCCGTGACCTCAAGTTTTCGTCGACGAGAAAATGCGCTCTCTGTCACTCACTGCAGTGAGTACTGAGTTATATTTTTTTTTCATGCACCAATCCCTCCACGGATAATCGCAGCTTTCCCGGTACTCATTTACTTTACCAAAAATAATGAAAATTTTAATATAAAAGGGGAAACGTGACAAAATTTAACACCATTAAAATTTTGCAGCAAAAAATAATCCCTGTACGACCAACAGCTCTGGGCAGCGCGGAGCTCCTGTGGCTGTTCTCAGGCCTGACGAGCCTCGACCTCGGCAGCAATTTCCTCACCGACACCCACGCCATCGCTGGGTGCTGCAACCTGACCAGGCTCAACTTCTCCCACAACCAGGTGGGTCATGGCAACCTCTCCCACAACCAGGTGGGTTATGGCAACACCTCCCACAACCAGGTGGGTCATGGCAACCTCTCCCACAACCAGGTGGGTCATGGCAACACCTCCCACAACCAGGTGGGTCATGGCAACACCTCCCACAACCAGGTGGGTCATGGCAACACCTCCCACAACCAGGTGGGTCATGGCAACCTCTCCCCTGTCTCTTATACACATCTAGATGTGTATAAGAGACAGGTGTACACTTGTACACACCGTGTGCAGGTACACAACACGACACTTGTACACACCGTGTACACTTGTACACACCGTGTGCAGGTACACAGCACAACACTTGTACACACCGTGTACACTTGTACATACCGTGTGCAGGTACACAGCACAACACTTGTACACACCGTGTACACTTGTACACACCGTGTGCAGGTACACAGCCTAGCAGGTCTCCGTACGCTGCACAGACTTGAAGTTTTGTCTGTGCAAGGCAACCGCATCGCCTGTCTG